CAAACTTTAACTGAATGTTCCTTAGGGTGTCTAGTTTATAATTTGTATCCAAAGTTTTGATCTATCAACAAACATGGCCACCATGGCTAAAAATAGTACATAGGGGACAAAAGCAGTTTTTGGCTTATATCTCTAAAACTACAGCAGTTACAGCAAAAGTGAAAGGGAGTTTAAGTGATAAATGGGTCATGATCTATCTGTTTTCAGACAAGTTCGTCAACTCATTGTTGGGTTACTGTTGGAAATAGTTTATTTTATTAAATTTTACTGTTTTTGGTTATTTTCTTTAATATTATAATAGATAGAGAGAAAGTATAAATGGCAATAAATGTTCAGCTAAGTAAGATCTACAAATAAGTCAACATGATCAAAATAGTGAATTGACCCCTTGAGGAGTTATTGCCCTTAAAACATTTTTTTTTTACATTTTTTGTGAAAGTCTATTTACTTTTTAATCTTCTTTTCTGAAACTGCTTGGCCAAATACTTAAAAATTTAATAGAATGTTCCTTAGGCTATCGAGTTTATAGATTGTATTCGGGGATTTGATCCATTCAAAAACATGGCGGCAGTTTCTAAAAATGGAACATAGGGGTCAAGTAAAGTTTTTGGCTTGCATCTCAAAAACTAAAGCAGTAAGAGCAAAACTGACATAGGTGAAAGTGTTAAACAGGTTTAGATCTAACTGTCAAGTAATCTTCAGACTAATAGGACAACTTATTGTTGGGTTACTGTCCAGAAATAGTTTATTTTTAGGAAATTTTACAGTTATTAGGTTATGTATTATCTTTAATATTATTATAGAAAGAGAGAAAGTGTAAATGACAAAATTGTTCAGCAAAGTAAGATCTTCAAATAAGTCAAATGCCTGAAACTGAAATAACAGGTGAGCGATATCAGGCTCTCATGAGCCTCTTGTTTATCTTACCATTGTTTTGTCTTTCTTTTCACTTATGGTTTATGAATACACCCTTGGTATATTCTCCTCCCTTTTATGACATTGCTGAGTATCTCCTTTATACCCAGTTTTTGGTGGGGTTCACGTTGCTTAGTCTTTAGTTTTCACCCATATTATTTGTCTGTTTGTCTGTATTTTTGGCCATGGCGTTGTCAGCTTGTTTTCGATCTATGAGTTTGACTGTCCCTCTGGGATCTTTCGTCCCTCTTTTATAGTACAATAGTCACAAAAAGTACACACATGAAGCTATGTGACTTTGATTTTCAGTAGATATTAAAAAACTTTTTTGAAAATATGTGAAATTAGGGATTTATTCACAATGTGTTTAAAAATGCAAATGTCAGTCCTACTGTCAATGGGTTTGTTTCCATCTGGCAATGTTAGTGCTCTCACACCTACAGGTCTCATCAGGTTAACTAGAATTTATGTCAAAGGGTTACACATGTTACATATAAATCTATGACAAATATGAAAATGAGGGATGTTTGCTAGTTTCTTGGGAGTTGTTACTATTGATAAAAATCATTGGAATGGCTCTCATACTAACATTTCAAATTCAATGAAATTTATGTCAAAGTTTACATTAGCAGATGAGTTCAGAATCAGAGCCAATAACCTGTAGATATCTTAACAATATTGCAAAAAGACATTGTAATTGCTTTCACAGCTTCATCAGATTTTTATGAAATTATATCAAAGGTTGAAAGCAAAATATTTTGTAAAAAAAATTGGAAGTAGCACTATTCTGTTCCTTTTATAGAAGTTTCGTTCCTTGGAAATACTAGTAATGTGGGAAATTCCAGTATATCAGCAGGGATCATTGACTCCCCCATGCAAACATGTTTTTTTCAATTGTTATATTCATGCAAAAAATTATCATGGCTATACCAGAAATAAATAAATGTTTGGGTGGTCGGAAGGCACCTTTTGTTTAACCACGCCATGCATTTAATTTTAATTGATTATTTCATATAATTGTTAAGGCTATCTGTCTTAAATAAGCACCACCCATCAAATTTTAATAAAAGTGCCTTCCAACTCCACTGAAGTGGTAACTGTATCAGTAATAAGTTACCTCTTTGGCTTGCTATGTCCAAGTTCATGCTTTATTCTGGTAGCATTATCATCCATTGATGTATTTTTTTTTCCATATGTTTGTATTCAGTTGGTTCTGGTTAACATTCACTGGAAATCATTCAGCAATTTTGAGGAAAAGAATATGTTAACTTTCTGAAGTGCTTCCCATTCTTTTACAAATTTTGAACTTCATTTAATATCACCAGTTTTGATGACTGGTCAATACAACAGTTGTTGCTTGTAAAGTAAGATATGTTTACACCTCTGAAGAACCTTGTATTATCACTGATTTTAATGCATCATTTTGCATGAAGCTTTTGAAAAAGGTTTCCGGATGGAAATTTTGGGAAGTACTGCTGTGAGGACTGTGGCTTCTTTTCAAATTCTAATATATAGCTTCGCAAGACAAAATGGAATTTAATTTTGTTGATTCTTATTTTTGCTTTATGGTCAAATTTTAATATGTTGTTTCTGATAACAAAGTGGAGGTTAAGGATGATTATTTCACTTAGTGGTCGGGGCCATATATTTTTACCCTTATCCGTCATTCTGTCATTCCTTCATTCAATCATTCCGCAACTAACAATTATACAAAAAAAATTTCTAAATGCCTTCACATATTGAGTAGATTTTTAGTATGTGAATCTACTATGATGAGTTACAGATGAAGTTTATGTCTCGTTCTGCACTGCTGATTTTTATGAAAATTTTTAACCTTTTATTATCAAATTTCCACTCCTAAAAATGGCTTCAAGCTTTTTTTTTGCAAGCAGGGCCATTCATGTCATTCCGACACATCTAGTTTACTTTTGCTGACTGAAGTTGTGGTCATTGATTGTAATATTCATGCTCAATGTCTTTTCCATCGAATAACTTTGGTACCATTCAAACAATTTATTTCAAATTTAAATATGTTATTTCTGATAACAAAACTGAGGTCTACTTTGATTTCCACTTTTACTGTTTAGGAATTATGACAATGATGCTTTCACATGGTTAATGGCTACAATTGTGTTTTTGCCTATTTATTATCTTGAAAACTACAAGAGAAACTTTAAATGGCAAAAATATCAGCAAGACATTTCTACAAATAAGTCAACATGGCCAGTCGTTGGTGGACTACTTATATGAGTAATTGCCCCTAAATGATTTTTATTACAATTTCTTGCGCAATTGTTTATTATCTTGAAAACCATAATAGGTAAAGAGACACTAAAAAAGGAAAAATGATCAGCAGGACAAGATCTAAAAATTGGTCAATTTATATTAAATTGTTAGGGATTATTGACCCTTATGTTGATTTTTACCCATTTTTTTGCATTTTTGAACAAAACTTTAGAAAATGAAGAAAAACTTTTAACCAACAAAAGTGATCCAAAAGATAAGATCTACAAAATAGAGTTCTTTGGTAGTCATGAATTATATTCTTGTCTTTAATGTTGAAAAGGCACATATATCATTATGAGCGACACAGGCTCTTTAGAGCCTCATTTTAGTTTGTTCTTATGTTGTGCTTTTACATCACTGTCCCAGGTTAGAGGAGGTTTGAGTGCTCACAAACATGTTTAACCCTGCCACATACTACATATGCTTGTATCAATTTAGGAGCCTGTAAATAAGTTGTTGTCATTGGTTGCTGTCTGTTGTATTTATTTGTTGTTTTGTTTACTGTTTTGCCATAAATAAAGAAATTGGTTTTCCTGTTTGGATTGTTTCACATTTTTCATGTTTGTGCTTAAATCCAGGTCATTGTGACTTTGGTGGATAGTTGTCTAATTTGGGATCATACTACATCTCCTTATTTTCACGTTGATGGTTGAGAAAATTTAGTGAAAGAAGAATGGTCTATGTACATTTTCTAATATCTTTTTGTTTATTTGTTTAGTGCATCATTACAGACACAAGGGGTATCAGTGAGAATAGGACAACTTACACATGACACTAACCATGATGACAGCTCTGATCAAACTTTACAGCCGTAAGTTGTATTTCATCATTTATTTTTATGCCTTGCCTACAATAATGCTTTGGGCATTATGTTTTCTAGTCTGTGCGTCTGTCCCTGCATTCTGTATCAGGTAACAATTACGATAGTTTCCATGAAATTGTCCTCACAACTTGAAACTTAGTACACATGCTTATTATGATACGAACTATTGAAAATATATGCCAGACGAGGGTCTTGACCTATATTTTGCAGTTTATTGTCGATCCTGCGACTTTTGTTGCAGAAAGCTCGACATAGGGATAGTGATCCAACGGCGGCAGCGGCAGGGGCGGTGTTAGCTAACTTCTTAAAAGCTTCATATTTTAGAAGGTAGAAGACCTGGATGCTTCATACTTTGTATATGGATGCCTCATGTTACGAAGTTTCCGTCAGTCACATGTCCAATGTCCTTGACCTCATTTTCATGGTTCAGTGACTACTTGAAAAAAAAGTTAAGATTTTTTGTAATGTTAAATTCTCTCTTATTATAAGTAATAGGATAACTATATTTAGTATGTGCGTACCTTGCAAGGTCCTCATGCCTGTCATACAGTTTTCACTTGACCTCGACCTCATTTCATGGATCAGTGAACAAGGTTAAGTTTTGGTGGTCAAGTCCATATCTCAGATACTATAAGCAATAGGTCTAGTATATTCGGTGTATGGAAGGACTGTAAGGTGTACATGTCCAACTGGCAGGTGTCATCTGACCTTGACCTCATTTTCATGGTTCAGTGGTTATAGTTAAGTTTTTGTGTTTTGGTCCGTTTTTCTGATACTGTATGCAATAGGTCTACTATATTTGGTGTATGGAATGATTGTAAGGTGTACATGTCCAACTGGCAGGTGTCATCTGACCTTGACCTCATTTTCATGGTTCAGTGGTTATAGTTAAGTTTTTGTGTTTTGGTCTGTTTTTCTTATACTGTATGCAATAGGTCTACTATATTTGGTGTATGGAATGATTGTAAGGTGTACATGTCCAACTTGCAGGTGTCATCTGACCTTGACCTCATTTTCATGGTTCAGTGGTTATAGTTAAGTTGTTGTGTTTTGGTCTGTTTTTCTTATACTGTATGCAATAGGTCTACTATATTTGGTGTATGGAATGATTGTAAGGTATACATGTCTAGCTGGCAGGTGTCATCTGACCTTGACCTCATTTTCATGGTTCAGTGGTGAAAGTTAAGTTTTTGAGTTTTGGTATTTTTTTCTAATACTATATGCAAAAGTTCAACTGTATTTGGTGTATGGAAATATTTTATAATCTATATGTCAGTCACGCAGGTTTTATTTGACCTTTACCTCATTTTCAAGGTTCATTGCTCAGTGTTAAGTTTTTTGTGTTTTGGTCTGTTTTTCTTAAACTATAAGCAATAGGTCAACTATATTTGTTGTATGGAAGAATTGTTAGCTGTACATGCCTGCCTAGCATGGTTCATCTGACCTTGACCTCATTTTCATGGTTCATTGGTCAATGTTTAGTTTACTTGGTTAATGTTTAGTTTATGTGACAGTTGTAATAAAGCTTTATATTTAGGACTATCAACATAATATCAATGATTAGTAAAGAAGGCGAGACATTTCAGTGTGTGCACTTTTGTTGATTAAGTTAAAATTTTGGTTTCAGAAAGGTTAAATCAAGGTGAAACTTAAAACATGTTTGTTATGATATTCATTAAAGAAAAATATGCCAAAATAGAATTTTGACCCAGATTTCAGGGTTACCTGAACATGGAAATATGATTGTACAAGAGGAGCATGCTGTCCTATGTACATATATTTTTGTTTCTGTGTACACTACTTTAGGATTTCATCATATTGTATTGCCCATCAATGACAGATATATATATATATTATGGTATGCTATTCTCAATCTGTCATTATGCATCCCTCCACATTTTCAGATTTTGTGTTCTTACTTTTTCACCAAACCTCATTATTTAGTTTCAATGACTGCAAGATGCTTTTCCTATTTTTACTTTTGCAATTTCAGAGTTTGGGAACTTTGTGGAAATCATGTATATATTCCTTATCTTGTAATTAAAATCTTTGGAAGTTAGGACCTCTCAATATTTTTTTTCTTAATACTTTCGTCATGTCTGAGATTTTGAACATTGTATATGTTTATTTTTTTATACAAGAACTCCCTTGTTTTGAGTGAATTTCCAAATGTTTTTAATATGATAGAATTGTAGGTATGTGTATCTTCTGTTTTGACTAGTTTGGCATTTTAGAGAATATGGAAACTTTATAAATGGGTCTTTTTCAGATGTCATCTATTGCTTTCATCCATGCATGTAAAATATTTTATATATTGTAAGGGTTGATGTTTGTAAGTTTCCTTTTAAACAAAAGTCTACATTGTGGTTGATATCATAATGTTTTTCGTCACTCAAGAAGTAACATTTGATCTCAAGAAGTAACATTTGATCAAAACTGGCATGCTTCAATAAAAGTAAAGTGTTCTCTGTTTATTTCAGAATTTCAATGAAAATATCACTATGCATGATAAATCTATACTGTTTGTAAAAAAGCTACTGCTTTAACTTTATGTCCATGGTTGTTATGGCACATTTTAAGAAAATTCTTTTAAAACAACTCAATTGATAAAATATATGCATTGACTCCTGCCTTGCAGCTGTGTCTAAAATTATGTAAAAGTCCTGCCTTCCAACCACTATTGCTACTATAACCAGAAATACTGTGAACAGTTATATTTTTTTCTCTGCAGTAACATAGCTAATCAGACCATTTGTTATTCAAACAGTATGATTTTGAAATGTACTGTTTGATCTCTACTGATCAAATAAAATTTTTTCACCATCATTACAACAGGAACAAAATGTGAAAAGAATTAACAAGCAGTTCAGTATGTCTAGTATACAGATGCCTTATGGTCTGAGATTTCCGACTTGAATATGTCTGTTCTCCATAATCACGTTTTCATGCTTCAATTGTCAATGTTACGTTTTCATGATAAGTTCATTTATCAGACAAGAAGTTTGCGGATTTCTACAAAATTGATTTGAAAGGTGAACTTATCTTTCAATGAGCTTATAATAATTCCAGCACAAAAAAGTTACAGATTGAGATAGAAAAAATAAAAACTTAATGAAAATATCAATGTTGACAGTAAAATGTTTAAAGGTATGAGATATAAGATCAAATGTCCATGTAAACAGATGCCATGTGTTGTATTTTTTCAAAATGTCTTTGCAGCTTTGACAATTGCTATTAACAAATGGTATCATATCAGGCATTAGTAAAGTGTCAGATTCATTTCAAATTGATTTTATTTTGATTTAATCAAATTCAATTTCACAACACAAAACATACAAATCAACAGCAATATAAATTATAAACAACAATTAAAATTTACAAGTTTTGGTTTTCATTTGATGGTCAATATACAACAATTAGCTTATAAAACAAAAGTAATCATTATCGGATCTACACAAAAAAGTAAATCCTGTGTTCAGATGATCCAACATAAAAATTCATTGAAAGGAATGTTCACAATAATATTTCAAAACAAAATTTAATCAAACCACAAACTTGACATGAAAAGTAACAAAGAATTTCTAAAGTTGAAATTAGAATCAAAACAATTTTTCATGACTTCATTACATTAGATGCAAATACTGGATTTTCGCAAATTTCAAGATGGATTTTTGATTTTGCTTTGAGGATTAAAGTAATAATTAATTTTTGTGTTTAAAACAAAAAAGCTGTCGAAAAAAAGACCATGCACATGTGAAAAGTGGAAAAATAAGTTGCAATGATTCAAACACCAGAAGAAGAAATCAAATAAAACTCCAAAGTGTTAGTTTAATTTTAGATGTTCTCAATGAAGATAAGAAACATTGGCTTAATATAATTTGGACAAAAAAGTCTGTTTCACACAAACTTTTTTAAAGTATGTGAGTTAAAGGTATTCTTGTATTCTTGATACTAGTGGGGATCATATTTCTCGCACAGATTTGTGATTCTATTTATCACAAATAGATGAACATTTACTGTTTTTTTATAAATATTATTTTACCCTTTGAAGTTGAAGACATTGAGCAGGACTAGTATATTAAAAATAAATCCTGATGAAGAACAAGTGTAAACATTTAAGACATAGCTGCCATAAAGTTAGTGAAAATACCCCATTAGATAGTTTGAATAAAATGATAGATTATATTTTGTAGTATGATATGCTAGAATATCAAATGGCATTTTTGAAAATGTGTGTTAATTTGTATTCAAGGGAATAATGAGACTTAGGGAAAAGATGCTGCTACCAGGAAGGCTGGATGTAAAAAGAGAAATAACTATCATCTGAATTTGCAGTTAGTGCAAAACAGGACATAATTACAACTCTAAATTTGAAACAGTATAGATTATTTTTGTAATACCAGAAAATAATAAAAAAAAAAGTATTACAGGATCTCTTATAAAAATTAGCTTATAAAAAAGCTGAAACATTATTCCCCCTCTTTTTAATTTTTTCTTAAATTGACTCATTCATAAAATCTTAGGTTTTTAAGAATGTTGATAAGATATATATACACAATGGATATTTATCAAGTTATAGAGATATTTTTATTAGTGTCAATACAAAGGAGTTACTGTAAATTAAACCTCTAAATAAAATTCATTGATGAAAATTCAGACAATGAGTAAAAGATGGAACACCTGCAAATAGACTTTTAAATTATACAATTTTGCATGTGGTGCAAAAAAATGGTGACAAGTGTCTTTCAAAACAAGGTGTGTTGTTTAAGAACCAATTTAAAATGGATTAAAACCTTATCTGATTAAATATAGGGTGGTTGATGGAATATTTGAATAAGATTATTCCATTTTAATGCACATAAGACCAAAACACAATGCACGATTTTAAATGCCCTGAACATAAAATTTAATTGTAAGTTATTTTATACATTACGTTTAACAAAAATAAATGAAATTTTTAATTTATGTCAAAAGCATTTAGATGAACTTGCAAGTGACTGTTTTTCCTTCAGTTTATTTACATTTTATCTTCAACAATTTTTCAAGCTGTGCCTCTCCTCTTTGAAGTGTAACTTTTATGCAATTCAGAAAAGAACCAAGGACATTGGCTGTCAGTATAATTGTGAAAAATGCTGAGTAAATGTCATTAAATTCATTTTAAGTAAGCGATAGTGTATCTTATTTCTCATTTATATGGCAAAGTAGTTCAAATTTATGGCTAACATAGTACTTTACCCCCTCATATATTTAAATATGGTACATATGAATGCAAACATCATCAAAGTATTCTCATTTTAAATAATTTACATATTTGGTATGAGTGAATTATTGAAAGTATGTTATTTTTTAAAGGTGACAGTCACAATTTTGAGTGATTTGAACTTGAAAAGAAACTCATCATGCATTAAATGGAGAAAAATATGTATTATAATTCAAATGAAGACAGTATTAAACTGTCATGAGCAAAGTGTTTGCTTTCAAATGAAAAAAAAAATAATGAATTGAGAATGATATATGAGATATATTATGATGTTTTCCTCAAGCAAACATTCATCACACAAATCAGAACTTAAAAATACATAACTCACACTTAGGTGCGTATCTTTTCACTGAATATAGGGGGTGGAAAGTTCGAAAAACACGAAGTCCTGAAAATTTATTTATTAGTAAACTTCAAAAAGTTTGTACTTCCTAGGATTTCATTCTGGAAAGAAGACTTGTGATATGAATAAATTATTTTTTCAAGTTTAAATACTAAACACATTTTGTAAGTAAGTGGATTTAGTGTTGGCTAATTCAAATGTTACAAACACAACCACAAAAATTGAGCAAATTGAAAAAAAAATGTAGTTATTAATATAATAAAAAGTATTTTTACAACATTTCACCCACTGATAAGCTGATCAGTTCCAACTTGGTAAATAGAATTTACCCTAGTTGACCTGCAAAGCATCCATGCTTCTTTAAATGACTATCTAAAGTTAATTACACATAAAAATAGGAATTTTTACTATTAACTTAAAGGTAAAGAACTGCATCAAGTGCTAGATTTAATCTTTTTTACCATTATATCATGCCAAAAATTATTTTAAACTGATGGTTCTGAATTGAAAAAAAAAATTCCGACTAATTTCATTTAGCTGTCTCGATAAAATTCCAGCAAATTAAAGATGCTTATTTGAACAAATATGGTCACCTTATACTTTTTTTTGTCTTAACAAGTGTCATGTGTATTTTACGAAAATTAAAATAATGATTAAACACAAATAGAAAAGCACATGGAGATCAAAAACATAATGACAATTTTCATAACAAGTACAATTAGCACTTTTAATTTCTTTTTATATATACAAACATTTTCACAAACTGACAATTTATGACTAGTACTTTTTTATCATTCATATTATAATGTCATGGCTAACATCATCAATACGGAATCACAATTCATAAATGCTACAGGAATGAACACAAAATAAAAAAAAAAAACAAAACAAATGCAGCCACTGATGAACTGTCATTACTATAATAATCCTTTTTTTTCAAATGCACATCATATGTTAAACTCAGTTCAATAATTTGTATTCTGAAAACATTTTTTTTTTATCATAAATTGAATACAAATTCATAAAAGTAAGCTCATTAGACAAGCTAGAGTATCCTGTTGATGCTTTTCATTGTTGAACAATTCATACGTATCTGTCAATTCTAATCCAGTAATTTGAGGTTGTAGATTAACTATTTTGGTGACAGTAACTTAACTGGCCATAGATTAGATTGAATGTGGTTGAAGCTGATAAAATTCGTTGTCAATGGTATCTTCCCAAACAATTGTATTGTTTTAAATGACAATTATGAAAATGCTCACAAAATAGTTCTGATTGCCAAAGAAAAAACGCAATAAGTATTATTGATACCTGGATCATGATATTGACCTGCCATATTTATTCCTAGATGGTATTTGCTCATTAGACAATGACAATCCTCTGTGTTTTGCATGACGTAAATGCCCATTACTTATATAATACTTTTTGATAAATTTCCGTCGGAAAGTTTTATCTTTCATTAATGTTTTCAAATCTATTTGTGAATTTGGAGCAAGAGCTTTGTTACCCTGGTTGAAAGGCAGACTGTTTTTCAATGATGAATGTTCTGATGTTACTGGAAGTTGATGGATTGATTGTCCAGGAAGTCGATTGGCTGGAATTTGATGATTCACATTCGATGATGGAGGTGTAGATGCTTGTTTAATATGTTTAACTGGTACATTTTGATGAAGATATCTAGTTGTAGAACTGGAACAGTTGGAATCTGCAAGAGAGAATTCATACAATTAATTCTTTGTCCGTTTTTTTTTATAAGGAAAGAACATAACAACACTTATACCAATGAAAATATTTTCCATCATTGTCTTTAACTTGTTTTCAAATAAAAGAAAGTAATTCCTAATTTCAAGATATGATTTCGTTTGTAATTAGCATAAGTTTTTTTGTATTTTCCATAACATTGTCTTGACTTATAGACAATTATAGATTATGCTAATGTACATATTTGAGGAGACATCATGACTTATTCGTAGTATCAATTTGAAAAAAAAGATCCTGTTTTAAAGGTGATTTTTACAGTTAGCATTTTTATAAGAATAGTGAATAGCTAACATGCAGTGCATCAGTGTTGTTAATTTGTCTGTAGGTTGTTGTTATTGCACTTTACTTTCATTCATATTGTGTTCTGAACTTTGTAATTAAGTAGTTCTAATCAATTTTATGTTACTAAAGAGGTGTCTATATTTTAAATGAAAAAATAACTATATGTAAGCAATTCTACAAGTTCAGTTACTTCCCTCGATGTAAAAAATAAAGTTACAACTAAATGTTCTACAATTATTTTCCATTAGAAAACCTGTGGTCTTACCTGGAGACTCCCAGAACTCAACTGTTATCAAACTATGCCCTGATATCCAATCTTTTGTTTCATGAAAATGATCACAGTCCCACAATGCAACATGTCCAACTGGCAAGTTTTTAATTTTACGGTATGTTATCACCCTAAGTATTCCTTGCTTCCCCCAAAAGTTCTTCTTTGTGCTGACAGGATCAAACTGGTGTAATTTTGAAATGGTTGGATATCCATATTTGTCAGCTAGGAATGGTCCATATGCTATAGGGTGGTAAATATATTGTAGTCCATCAGTGCCTACGACACTGTCAATTCCATTCCTAGATAAATGTATTAAGTCCTTTCCTAAGGAATGTTCACCACCAACTCTGTTGAAGGAATATGATAGTCTCAATGCACTAGTATCATGTAATAACAAATTGCGCTTACATCCAATCATGTCGATAAGATGGTTGTTGTGGTATCTGCCTCCTGCATGTTTGTAGCCTGGATAATTTTCCTTCATCTTGGTAAATGATGGTAATGGTATCTGGAAATAGTAAAAATACCAATATTATTTACAGCATTGGTATTTACATATGATTACAAAAAAAAAACCACTTGTAAATTTCAGTCAGTGTGCTTATAAATAGACATGTCAGTATTAAAAGAAAAGCTAGATTCAAAAGAATGAAAAAAGGAAAGCATGCATCTTAGCTTTGCTAAGGATTTGTCCAGTGTTTTTGATTGTGTATGGATTTTAGATTGCTCTTTAAGGATATATAATTTGTTTGGGAGGGAAATGTGCTTAGACATTAAAAAGCAGTTATTTACACTATTATGTGATTGAATATTCTAAAAGATATCTAGGTGAAGGACAAAATGTTTATCTTAAAATTGAGGCAAAAACAACTTTCTTCAGTGAAGTAGAAAAAGAAAATCTCAACATAGGTGTTTTTTTTTATTGTATATAGCAAATGCTTTGTTAGGAAAACATATATTTGAAAAGTCAATAATTGATCAAATGAAATCAAATGAAAGGACGAGAAAAAAAAGATATGGAGTTGTAGAAAAAGAGAGATTTAGTAAATTGAAATACAGTTAAAACCAAAAAATGAGGGGAAAACAAATAGGAAAGAGGAGTAACAAAATGTCAATGGGGCAAAAATAGTTTTTTTTTATCAGAAAAAAATCTTGATTAAAAGCAGGTTGAACCTTCTAAACTGTGTACCCTCTGACTTCTATACGTTTACACTTACAAAAGTACTTGTTTGATCAAAGAATAGTTTATTGACAATAGCTAGTAATGAAAAAACTTCAATAAACGTTTTCACAAGTCTTCATATAGATTTTATTCTCTTATTAAACAAAATCTAGGCCTATATGACATTGAGATCTTCCAATCAATGTTCGTTTAATGTAAGTTAATGTAAACAATCAAATTATATCAACATTTATTAAACAAACTAGGGTGATAAAGCACAAAGTCAGATAAATCATGTACATGGAGATTCAAATATTGATGTCATTTATAAAGCCAATTGTGCAGTCTGGTAGCAGTTGCAAGATGTTGTTGATATTTCAGGGCTTAAACAGGGTACAGAGGTTAATGTTTGTATTTTCCACACTAAGCCAAAAGGAGGTAGAATGATAAAACACATGTTCAGATCGACATGTTTCTAAGGAGATTAAGATATTTTTAGTAATTTGTTAAGCTTATTGTGCATTCAAATATTTGTCTCAATATCATGTTCATATCTTGAGCTTGAGAAAGCATGACAAAAGGGTCAATTTAGCTTTCTTACAAACTGTGGGCTCAGAAAATATGTTGCTTACAAAAAACACTTTGTCACACAAGATTACAAAAGAAAAACACTGGTAAAATAAATTGGAATGTTTTACAGTAACCATATCAAGAATCTGTTTTTTCACTTTGGTCCTTGGTTTTATTTTTTCCCATAAAACTGATTGGTGAAATTGGTCAAGGTATTACATGTCAACATAAAAGATTATTTGAAATATTCTATAATCATGATGATATAAGTAAGTAGACACAAAGCTACATTCAAACAACGATTGAAATACTATTTGATTTAGGGGTATGAAAACTCGGCAAATTTACCAGGTTTATCATTTTGAACACCAAAAGCCCATTCTTCTATATTAAAATCATCAGTGGCTCACAAATTGAAATAGTAGGAAGGCTAAATCGATTATGAAGTTTAAGAGGATGAAAACCAAAATATTGTGCCAAATCTGGCCAAAACTTTATTGGGTTGAAAAACCATTTGTGTTTTGAATGATTTTAACATTTATGAATAGTAAATTTACAGAAAGTGACCTCACCAACAATGTATCTTGTCAAAACTCCTACAGCAAAGGAGTGCCGACTACCGGGATGGTGATAACACTGACTACCACCACATACAAGTAAATCATGTTCCTAGAGATGCAAATATTTTCATTCTTTTAAATAGTAACAAGTGTCATTAACAATAAATCACCATTTTTGATATTTCAATAATGAATAAGGTTAGAAAGGTCAATGTTGGTCCCTTCTGAACTGTGGTCTAAACCTGCCTTATGATACAGACATGTAGGTAATAAATTTGTTCAGTAAACAAAGGATTTAAATAGTGGGCTTTGTATGACCAGATCCCTCTGATTAATTATAGTTTGTTTGTACAAATTTAACAAATATTTCATCAAAGGGAGAACCCTTATCTTGTTGGAAGGTATCACTCTAATCTGCTTGATGAGTCACTGTAATATTCAATATTAGGAATTCAACACCTAATGGAATCCTCCTTACACATTACCTCTGGTATTTGATGGGCTCGTGTTGCTCAGTGTTTAGTTTTTATAACATTAACAGTACCAATTTTTCTGCACCAGATGCACATTTCGACAATGAATATCTCTTCAGTGATGTTTGAGGCCAAAATATTTGACAATCTAAAGCTTATTAAAATAATTTAGTTTTTCTATGTAGTGTCTTTGATGGTTTTTCATTTTTTGCAATGGTATTGCTGGCTTCTTTGACTAATGATTTTTTTTTGTTTGCATTTGGTATATACTTCCTCTTTTTTATTTGATAGAGTTACAGTTACCTTAACTCTAAACTTTGCCTTAGCATAAAGGCATTTTCTCTTAAACTTGCCGTACATAACCTTTGTCCTCAACCTAGGCAAAACCTTGCTCCTGAATCGTTTAAGTGCAGGAACCTCAGAATTCAAAACTCAGTATCTTTGACAAAGCAGATGTTTTATGTCAAGATTGTTTTTGATATTATGTGACTATCAATAACACAGTTCAGTTTACTTTAGTTTATTAATAATAGTGCAAGAACATTTTGCCAGCCAACATTTTATCATCACTATAATTTTGATATGTTTAATATCACATAGAACAATGTCCCTATCTTATTTCAAAATAAGCATACAACAATGTGAAATATAATATCTAGAATTTCTCACAGGTAATCCATAAGGAAATTCCTTTATGCATTGTTGTAGCATTGTTTGACATTAATCGTCATAACTGATAATTTTTTCAATTGTCTTTTTTTGGCTCACAATATTAATTGTCGAAGCCATCTGATACTTATAACAATAGACTCTGACGATTGTTTCTTATGTATGAAGAAAAGAGGTAGCCACCGTCAAGATGTTTTGATTTCTATCTTGGTAATTATGACAGCATGCCAAATTGATGCTCAGGTTATCTTTAAACAATTTATTTGACTTATTGCTCTCGAATTTTCTGCTAGTTGATTTTCTTTAGGCATTAATTTAATGTCATGAGTGTTGCATCGTTGCAAATTTTCTTTTTTTTTTAAGATATGAACATGATTTAGCTATATTTATTTGTCAAATGCAGAATAATATCATTTTATTTAACTCTTTAATTATCGAAAATAAAACAAAATAAAAGGAAAAAAAAAAACAGCATTTGATATTCTTAGTGAAACAAATTTTTTGTTTCACTACGAATATCAAATGATGTTTTTTTTTTCTTTTAGACATATGTTTCTGTATTTTGTTTTTTTTTTCAATTCAGCATCACCACTAATGGGATACTAAAGACTTTAAAACTTTGTAAATTCGTTGTTCTGTGCCTTGTATCTTTGATGAGTTTTTTTTTAATTATGGGCAATGTCCTAGTTTGAATGATGGAATGTGTCCTGCCAAAAAAAGCTTGACCACGTTAGATTGAAAGGTTGTGTGTCAAGCAGAGTTGAGGAACGCTTTTATATCAAAAAGACTGATTTCCATTTTTAAAACTGTATAAAAAAACCGAAAGTTATGTGTTTCAAATATTCAAATTCCAATGTTGTTTACCTAATCAACTTTTACAAAATGACTACAGTCAATAAAGTAAAAATGCATATGCCAATGTCGTAACAATTTAGATAAACCAAAAAATAAGACTAATTCAATGGAACTTAGGATATTACTTATTGATACTAATGTATAATATAAATTATACAGTCACATATGATATACAATGGAACAAGGGGCCTCTGTTATCAAAATATGTTTTAAGATATCTTAAGTTTTTTTTTATATCTTTCAGGAAGTTCATTCATGCAAAATTTTGACAGGAGGATTAAAAGATGTGTTTATAGTTTATCCAAATATACCCCTTGTATGATAGAAAGAATTTTAATAGTGTTCAAAAGAATAAGAAAATTATAAGGTTTTAGTACGTGCATTTACTTTTATTACAAATTAATTGAAATTTTTATTTCTATATTTTACAAGGTTAAATACTTTATTGAATAATTGAAATTCGATTATGAATTAATGTGTAGAGAAATATACAAGTTGTTAAGTATGTATTTATGCCTTGTCATTATAACGATGATTTTGTAGGGAAAAGTTAATAACAACATATTTTAATACATGATAATTTTTGACAAAATGTCAGTTTCTTCCCTGAAGCAGTTGTCTAGTCCTTAGTTTATAATGATTATTTAGTGAGTAAATATGTTTTATCAAGCTTTTGAATGACAAGACTGTTAATCAAAATTCTATAAAAGTTTTATTAAAGTGGGTAACAGTTGGTCGTAGAATGGTGCTCTTTGACCTCAAAAATACGTATGTTTCATAAATTGGTTGATTTAGTTAGATGAATGATATTCAAGTGTAAACAAAACTTTTTATAGGGACTAGACGAGTGTCATAGCAACTGGTGCCATATGCAAAAGAACATCAGTGTCATAAATGCACAGGAAAATATCGATGCAACATATTGGGAATGTTCACTGCTACACCTATTACCAACCGAGTATGATATCAGGTGCCCTCGAAGGGTGACAATATCCGGGTTACAGTGCAAGGAAATTAGATAATGTTTTGTATTTGCCCTACATTTTGCTCTTGAGTACTTCGATGTAAAAATTCGCAAATAAAACTATATATTTGAGCTTTGATAAAGACTGTGGGAGACTTAAAAAACGAGTCATTGTCCAAAAAATTCAATTGGAATTAAAACTAAACGTTAAGCACACAGTATCAGTTTACTAAGTTGAGAGTTGGGTTCGGGAAC